CCTTTCTCTGATCAGATGGTCAAGCGTCAGGCTCAGTGAAGATTTTATCTCCCTTGTGGCACTATGTCTCGACAAATCTGGTCGCCTGCGCATCAAGCCCGAGCTTTTCTGGGAACGGATGCAGAGGACGGCTGAGTGGTTTTCTCCCAACTAAGCTGGCGCTGTAATTTTTTTTTGTCAGAAATCATAAGAGCCACAGTATTTTATGATTTCAGGCGTACGGTCAGAAATTCATCAATAGCGATCTGTTCCTCTCGATGGTCGGATCGATGGCATCGGTGTTCAATGCGGGCAGCCGGATTGTGTGGGGTGTAGCCGCTGACAAAGTGAGCCACAAATCAGTACTGAGCTGCCCACAGCTTCAAACTAGCAATGATTTTAGACGTCCTATCAATCCACAATGGCGATTGTATGCACCGTAGGAGCATCACTTGTATGGCTTCTTCCAACCGTACGAGCTGTCGGTGATCCACTCTTTTTCATAGCCGTGGTAAGATTGAGGGACTCTGCTTTGAACTGAAATATCAAATTGCTACGTCACACCGGAAACGTGACAGTTTGCCCGAACTTAAAGGCACACTTTGCACTAATATTAGATGGAGACACCAAACCACTGAGCTTTCTCTACTGGCACGCTCTTCCTCTCCATTCTGCTGGAAGAAACAGAGCACCAATGAGAAAACCAGTGTGGTTGGATGTCTCCGCCCATTCTGTTATCGCGATACGTGCCTCCGATGCGATAAGAATATTTGTGCTTTCAGATTTGCATGATTTTCACGTGTATAGGAGGAACCTATTCCCTGTTCCCATATATTACGCACAAATGTTTTGGGAGTTCAAACTTTGGAATCGTCTATGGATTTCTTCAGTGCTCTTTGGTAAGGTCTATCGATACATTTTCCGCAAAATCAGCTCTGAGAGTGGCCCATGCAATTAAACTAGAAGTCAGTCACACTGCTTGACAGGCACCGCTTTCCCTCCCCCCCCCTACCACGGGCCAACTGCAGCAAGTATTGAAATGCGGCACCCACGAAAACTGGTCAGAAGGCGCCGTCCGGCAGCTAGGTCACTACCGCCACCCCATGTTTAGGGTACGTGGCAAGAGAATCGTAATTCGCCGCGCCAGTGGGCGTCGCGTGCGACGTCGCGCCTGCTAATGACGACGATTTTAGGTGGTATTGGTCGAGAATAGACAATGTATGACCAAAAATAGACATAAGTCCTACCATGTCCTTGTCTACATGAAATCCGATGCTCCAATCGAAAGGGTAGTGCAAATCAAGGAAACGTCGCGCCTGTTGCCGCGCGCGACAAAGCGGCAATTTACGATTCTCTTGCCCGTTTCCCCCATGTTTATTTTGGACGCGCTGAATATGACGCGTGCGCAATGAGGCGGCGCCGCAGCGCCGACTTCCTGACCCGCATCTCAACGTCCGCAAATGCGATTCGCCTTCTTCTCATGGATTGCGCTGGTAAAAAATAGAGTAAGAGGTGTTGACCGAACACTTTGAGGATGCGCCATGCACCCGAACTTTGCTTGGTGTCAGGAGGAATTCGGATAGCACAAAGCTCAGTCAGTAAATTCATGCCAAACAACCGTCGCAAACAGAGTGAGCCTCGAATTACAACGTGATTCCGTTATAAACGGCAAATAAAAGCTGTTTGGACGCAGTTAGGTGGGATCTAATTCATGGAGATGACCAGGGTACTACCAACAATTGCTGTCAGTTCTGCGAGGTTTCGATGCGGGCCGGGACATCCACGTAGCGACGAAGCGGCGCCGCAAGCGGTATCATGTGCGCGGCATTCTCACCAGAGCAAGTGATTCAACGCGAAAACGCTATGGTTAAAAGGCCAGCAAGTATCTTTTAATCTGAGCGATAAACTAAATGCGTCCAGGTGTGAATGTCGCGCACGCGACATTCACACCAGGACGCATTTGTCGCCTTTTTTAGTGTCGCGCCGCCGCAACGTGGATGTTCCGTCCGCAACTTTTAATACTGCTTTCAAAAAACTAATGCTCATCATTTCAGTCTGTAGCTGGTATACTGGCAGGATTACTGTCACAATTTATTCTGCCACTTGTCGGATTCGATATTCTCTTCCTTATCGCCAGGTATTTGGGATTGCAATTTCACTTATAATCACTACATGTAATTCATTGTACCATCGCCGAAACCCGCCACAGCCTGTTCTCGCATATCTTTCCTGCAGAGCGAAATGAATTCTCTAGCGGTTTGAACTACCCTACGTTTTTGCCTTTGAAACCTGCCTTATTTAGGACAAGCCCTATCAGGCGACATTTAGTGGCAGTGTTTTTTATTGTTTTTATTATATTTGAAATTTTATTTATTCATTCACTTTTGAGACCTAACAGTATCTCAGCATTTTCGGTTGTCTTCGATATCACTTCTTCTACAGGCATTTTCTTCACCGTGTCAAATTGCTTTCACTTTATTATGTCGGCCAGGGACTATTTGTATGATTAGGGGTATGTGGTTTAGGGAGATCCATGCTGTGCGGGACGCGCAGAAACCAGAGGCTGGTACTTCCCTAGCTCATGTTTTGACTCGCATAAAAGCCGAGAGGAAGTGCCAGCTGCAGTACGTACTTTAGTCTGAGGCAAAGGACAAAGTAGTCGCGAGGTTACGGTGGCAGCACGACTGCCACGTCACGCCTTATCTGCCTTGCTACGTTTTTTCGAAGATAGAACGGGTACATAGGTTCCCTTGTTCGGTGGAGGGCGCAGACAAGCAGACATGACGTGACACAGTTCTGCTCTCCGAGACACCCAAACTGAGGGCGCATCGCCCGTTGGGGATCCCCAGGAGGCTCGTATCCAGTCGCTGCAGGGACGGAAGGGCATGGTGTTAAGGAGAATGTTTCCCAAATGCTGATTTTTCTCGGATTTTTTTTGCTGTTGGATGTGTGCCATACCTTCCCCCCCCCCCTTGTCCTCCTCCGTCTGCTCGACAGCACTTCTTTGGATGGAAGTGCAGTATTTTTAAGAAGAAAAGACTTCGGAGAAGCGAGGAAGTGGGGAAAATCTGGGAGGATGATAGGGAGAATGGGAGATGGGGAACGGGGGGGGGGTCGTACCAGGGGAGGAACTTTCAAGGGTAGACTTATATTTTGCGGAAGTTTTTCCAGCGTCAGGACTTGCCCTGCCCGAGCCAGCTCTGCCTCTTTGAATAAATTAGATCCTGGTGCGAGTGTACCACCTGGGAAGCCGCGTCGCCGCGATGTGGATCTCCTAAACGAACACCTATGTAATAGGTACCGTTCTCTATGTCGAATATTGATTGTTAATGTTATTCGTTGTTGCTCAGGTGACCCGATAATATCGAAAGAACTTACGTCTGCAATAAATTCTGCAGAAAGCCTCAGATTCGCTGGTTCGTTACGTTCACCTCGGACAGGACCAAGCACTGGCGAATCGGTCTCCAGTAACAGCTTCTCCATTGGAATCGCGTCAATGAGGAAACGCTTCTGTAAACCCATAGATTCAGAGCCCTGATCTTGGCAATTTCTCTGAGATACCATACATGATCGCCAGTAGTAAAGGAAGGAGGGATGGAGAAGAAGAATCCAGCCTCCAGTCCACGGAGAGCCTGTTCTAGCGACCCGTTAAAGGCATGTAGCGCCACCTTGGTTGCTTTATTCTCGATCAGAAAATCGACGGTTTCTCCACAAGCAGAACGTGAATGAACGGTCCTAAAAGTACAATTTTTCAAATCCTAAACGGATCTTTCCCATTGAGTTTGGTGTTCTACGTAAATTTTACCGTACTGTTGTATTCCCAAAAAAAATAGTGAGCAGCATGTACTTGGCT